TGCATATTGTTTCTTTGTGTTTAAGTTGTTGATTACTTTATTTTTTTTGTTTCTCATCATTGTTTATCCCTGTTTCTTATTGTTATTGATTTTCATAAATAAAATTTAATATTCAAGGTGTTTGCGGCACGCACAAACACACATATTTATACAGAGTTATGGTTGACAAAAACAAAAACAAAACTAAAAATTGAAATATACGTAAACATGAAAAAAAATCTAAAAGTTTAAAATACTACGTATTAAACAAAAAACAATATGATATAACAAAAAACAACACACGCGATGCAACAAAAAGCTACACGATGAAACAAATAGAAACAAAAACAATGAATAAATATTTAAATTTAATCTTTTTTCTGAAATTTAAATAACAATGAAGGAAAATATCCCTACATCTTGAAACTTGTGAGTTGTGTCCCTAATATAATGTTTATTATTTGTGATATCCTAAATTCAAAATCATGAAATATATTACCCTGTTGGTAACCCTTATTTTCAACTTATTAGCTAACTGTTTATCAAATCGTAACTTTTAATCTCACACATGCATTGAATTGTGTAGTTATCAAATTAAGTCGGATTGAAGTTACTTTTCTAGTTGAAGTGACCAAAGTAACTGTAGATAGTCATTTTAGCTATTTTCTTATTAATTTTTCTTTATTTGATCATTAAAATATATTTTAAGTATCATTTTACACAATTAATCAGATTGAGCGAATTCATCCGCTTCATTCAAAATATGAGGGTAATTTTAGCAAGTTCAACCAATTCAAGTCATTCATGCTATCAAACAGGCTCTTAATATGTTAAAATTTGGGTAATCACATAAAAATTAAAATTAATTGAATCTAATATCATCATTCACTGATGATTGGTCAAAGCAAATATACCATTGCTACCTGGTAGAAAGCATAACATACCGAGAGATAGGTTTTACTTTACCCTACATGGATGCCCTATATACTTGCAGTAACTTTTATATATTCTTTGGTGTTGATGTCATAAAAAAATCAAGGCATTAAGTCATGAAATTTGATCAATTAGGCTTAGACTTCATGACTTCTACTAACTTGTTCAATCAAGTAACTCATAGGTGGCCTTTATTCTTCTTTCACGTTAAGTTTTTTTTTTTGATGGATTCACGTTTACTTTTCTTCCTTCCGTTTTTTAAAACTTCAGATTACATATTAAAATATTTAATTATCGTTCAAAATAAAAAAAATCATGAAATTAACCATAAATGTAGGAGTAATCTCATAATAAACTTTCTTTTTTCAAATATCACTTGAGGCAACAAAGAACAAACCACTATTTGAAGGATAAATAGCACCATGTAGTGGCGTATCCACTATGGGGCAGCTGCCCCCACTCAACCTCAACCCAACCCCTATATATATACCTAAAATTTTATAAAAATTGCTTAAAATAAGAGTTAAATGTAGGAAAAAAAATTCTAAAATAGGATTAAGAGTGTTTTCTTTCATATTAATAGAATGAAAGGCTAAAAAATTCACTAAATTTTGTTATGTTTAACCTATATTTAGGTAATTTTCTCAAATTTTATCCGCAATTGCATCTTTACACACCTGTAATATAAAATAATTTTCTTTTTATTCATACTTGTACATATATATATATATATATATATATATATATATATATATATCTTAAACTAAATTTAATCAAACAATATTAATAATGTGATTTGCTATACATGAAATATGAGACTAAATTGTAGTGCAAGTTTGCCCCCCACTCACCAAAAATCCTGGATACGCCACTGGCACCATGACTGTCATTTGTGCTTATTTACATATTTTACTTAATTTGAGTATATGTGGTTGTAGAACCTTTAGCTCACAACAGTTTCTTTCAACAGGTTAAAACTTAAATTAGCATCCATGAAGGAATAGTAAGGTGGAACTAAATATTCAAAGTCTCACATACATGGAATTTTCAAGACTTTAGGGAGCATGACCAACTTTCCAAAGTTATTGATATAAAAAGTTATCTTAGGATTCTTAGGAGGGGACACAATCTTGATGCATAAGGGAGTGGATCTGGAAGCTTGGCTCGAGCTGAAACCTTTCGTCGCTTGAATGAAGATCCCCGATCGGCCCGACTTTCACAAATCCCCCCCCCCCCCCTCCAAAAAAAACACGGTCCTTCTCCTTTCTGACCATTTCACGTCGTTTTTGTCATCAACCATGGTTGGGAGGTCGGCTAACGTAAGCAGTAAGAAAAAACATATCAAATTCACCTAGTCAGAGGTGTAAAGAATTCAAGGAAAAACTGCAGAAAATAGAAAGAAAGTAGATTAGGAAAGAAAATTTTGAAATTGACAACGTATAAAAAGAGAACAAAGTTAGGAACACTTGAGCAGCAACGTATCCAATTTTATAGGAAAAGGGAAACCTATATATTTACTGATTGAGAATAGAAGTTTGTTAGGAATAAAATCAGTCAAGACTAAATACATTATACATATAGAATTATAGAAATGGGGGAAGCCCATATATTTACTGATTCGGCACTTATAAACTTTTACTACAAATAAACCAAAAAATACACATTTAAATGGGAGAAGCTAGAGACCTGCAGTAAAAGGATGTCTACTAAATACAAATAAGTGATAGATTCTGCACTTAAGAACTTTTAGTACAAAGACACCAAAAAATACACATTTAAATTGAAGAAGTTAGAGACATGCAGTAAAAGGGTGTATACTAAATAAGAGTAAGTTGTATGAATATATACACAACTGGACAGTTCCCTAGCATATCATTTGTTAAAGGAGAGTCGGGTAGTTTTTCCAGGAGAAGTTTCTATGTCATCCTGTGACATTCGGCTTTCATAGTCCATTAAAAATAATGATTAATCTAGGGAAAATGACAGAAGACAACGAAAAGAGTCTGCCCATGAAAAAATTAAGCATATAAAAAATGCCATGGAAAACCAAGACTGTAGTTCTTTTGAGCAGCATCAATCTTTTGAGCAGCATCAATTAAGCATACTCCTTTTTTGTAAACAGAAATTGACATGGATGAACTAAAAAAGAAAATGACAGAACAAAAAGAAAACATACTATATATAACAAAAAAAAAAGTTGCATTTGAAGGAATGAAAAAACATACGGAGTGTTTACCTATGCCACTCTAAGAACAAAAATCTATTTTTTGTTATACATCCACTCACTCAATGTATTCTTCTTTTTATATCGCAATTCCTTGTGAGCCTAAAATTAGTTTTTTAGCCAAAATAATTAAACACATAAGCAGAGCAGTTAGCTCTTGTTTTTTCATGAACTTCTTAGACATTTTGGAACTTAATGAATCATTCATATTTCATATTCTTCAATATTGAATCAAATTTCCATAATTTTAAATTTAAGTTTACCACATTGTTGAAGCAATCCTACTTCATATAGGTGTCAGAAGTATAAACGTTCGGTCATATTTGAAATGGAATATAGCTAAGCATTCTGTTAAACACCACACATGAGTCTCAAAAACAAAATGAATTAATGACATATATATTCCGCTAAACACCATATCTGAGTGTAAACACCATATACTATGTATGTTACATCAGCATATATATGTAAACTCACCAACATGGTGAGGCCAGAGCTCAAGCTAGAAAGCCCAAACACGTATTGGAAGGATATGGCTGCAAAATTGGAAATACAATGTAAACAAAATTAATTGTGGATTAAATTAGTACTAACAGTAATATATATAGTAGTACTCACACATTGAAATTTCAGAAACTAAAGCCCATGGTATAAATCCCATGTTTTGTTATCTAGTTGTTTAAATGTGATTGTACTTTTAATAGTTACTACATTATCATCCAATGGACACCAATGGCCATCTAAACATTTAATCAAACATGTTATATGCATGAAAACAAATATATGTCCCTAAACAATGTTTTTCACAGTCCCTGTGATATCAAATTGAGCAAAAATACTCAATAAAGTGAACTTAACAATTAAAACCACAGGTATTACCTAAAATCCTAAAATCCTAAAATTAGTAATTACGGAGAATTACTTTCTTTGTTTGCAGTGATGATAATATATAATTTTGGAACTAAGAATCAACAAACAAAGAACTCTAGCGGTGATACCTCTGCTACTTGGGCGATCAAAGCATAAACCCTGTGGAACTGCAGTCCCGGTTTGGAGAGGAATAACTGAAGTAGTGTCACCTTTCAAGAAATGAAGATCTGAACTGAAATATGAGAAGATTCAGAAATATAAACACCCTTAATAGGATGTTAAATGTTGATATTTGTCTCGACAAATTGCAGCATACTTAATCATGCCACACATCTGTTATGAGCTCAATAGGCAATACTATAAATGCATCGAAATGTTATTTGATTAGGGAGCTACACATATAAATAGTTCTGAGCTAAGTATGGTGCACCAAAAGTTTCAACATGTCACTTCTAGCAGGTACCATTCATTGAGCAAATGGATCGTAACTTTTGATGGATCATAACACTGCAACATATCAATCGTTACAAAGCTATCATTTTAATTTGAATACTGAAAGTTATATATAAAGGCAACATGTGTTGCACAATTAGTTTCTGGACTGAAGCAACATTCACAGAGAATCGAGAAATACAGAAAGGAAGAATGAGAGGGTACCTCTGCTACTTCGGAACGGAAGGATTTGTGTTGCAAAGCTGGGTTAATGTGGATGAAAACTACACCAAGACAAAAAAAAGGTTTTAGAATAGAAAGAAATAAGCATGGTTGAATTACAGAGAATCGAGAAATATAGAAAACGAAGAATTACAAAATACCTCGTGTACTCGTGCAGGGAGTATGAACCCTAATGTCGATCTTCATCTGTATATGTAGTGACGATATTATTTGTAGTCTCCAAAGATTCGGTGAAGAGCTGTGTGCCGTAATCTCGCTGCTGAAGAATACTAAATTTAGTGAAATTCGCAGGATACGAAGCTGCCGCTTGGGGGCAGATGTGAGAAAACTTGGGCGAAAAAAGGGAGAGGGCGGAGAAGATGGAAACTTCGGTGAAGAGCTGTGTGCCGTAATCTTCGTTCGTTCATTTCTTTCTGAGTGATGATGAGGGGAAGAAAAGGTTACACAGAGGAAGCCACGTGGCTTTACAATAGCAAAGGAGAAAAAATTGGGTTGAGCTACACGTAGGATTAATGAAGGACAAAATGGTAATTGGAAGAGCTATTTGTTTTCTTATATATAAATAGAATAGATATATAAACATACACACCATATATAAAATTTGCTTCGTTGCTTCTCTTTAAAAATTTGCTTCTCTTTATATATATGAATTTAATTGGTGGGATGTTTTCCAATTTTGTTGGCCAAGATGAGTGAATAGACCGGCAGCAGCCCTGCATACAAACACGAAGGAACCTGTCATCTATGTAGGCGAAACAAAAGGGCAGCCGGGTAGGATAACTACGAACAGGGGATGGTTGCCGTGGATATGCGACGTACACCGCATCAACACCGGCAAATAAGGTCGCCGTCCAGTCTTCTCTCTTTTCAGAAAAGTTGATCTCTTTTTCAATTAATAAAACAATGTCGTTTTGGGATCGGTACACCATGTGCATGGTGGGCCGATCCCACGGTATAATTTGCGCATATTTGGTGTATAGTTATGGATAGAGCAAATCTGATTCATTACCATTCTTAAATGCCACTCTTATTTAAAATTTCATCAATTCATATTTGTATATACTATCAAGAACTAACGTAACTTTTCTTAAGGATAAATTTATACCTCTAACTATAAGTTTCGACTTTTTCGTGGTGATCCAATTTTCCATCTCCACGATTGAAGCCTTCCGTTTGACTTTCAAGAATTCATTAATTGCGAATCTTAATGGCACATTCAATTAAAACATGAAAATAATGTCTAATAATTTATTTTAGTATAAGTTATCTATAAATTCCATCCTATCCTTGTATATTGTTTAAGCAGTCCACTATCAATAAATTCTTTTGGACTGAAATTTGTTGGTCTGGTCTGGTTTGGTCTGTTTAAGTCTGGTCTGTTTAAGTCTGGTCTGGTCTGGTTTGGTCTGAATTGGTCTGGTCTGGTCTGGTAAACGTCTGGTCTCTGTGTATTTTATAACTACGGAAGTCTGGTCTGGTCTGATCTGTTTAAGTCTGGTCTGGTCTGGGACTGAAAACAGTCCAAAAGAAAACATCCTAAAGCCTCTCATTCGATCATTGAATTTGAATTCATTCACTGTACTCCCTCCGTTCCAAATTGAATTGCAAAAATGATTTTTGTTTGTCAAACATATTCATACTGAGTATTATTCACTTAATTACGATATCAATTTTTAATTAAGTTTAATTTCGATTTTACAACTTTATAGGGATTTTGATAAAAAAAAATAATATGTAAATTTTAATTATTAAAATTGAATTAAATATCAATAGATAATATTTAATTAGCATCAGTTGTCCAAAAAATGTTAACTTCGCAAAACAAATTGGGACAAAGGTAGTAACTCTCAATGATATATTCAATTACAACATGAAAACATTGTTCAATTATTTGTTTATGTATATCATCCTAATAATGAATTATTATTGATATTATAAATCTATATAATTCAAATTACGCGAAATTAACACAGATAATTCTTACTTTTGCACATTTTGCAAAAAAAAAAAAATTACTGGAAAAGTTCACAACAATAATCCCAATTAGATATCTGTTTCACAAAAATAAATCGGGAGTTAACAGTGCCAACTTTCCCGTTTAGGATGTTTTTACTTAGTTTTTTTAGTCCTAAACCCGATCAGACCAGATCTGATTAGACCAGATCAAACCAGACCAGACCAGACTTGGACAAGTATAAAATACACATAGACCAGACATTTACTAGACTACACCAGATCAAATCGGACCAGACCAGAAAATTCTAATCCAAGTAAGAACATCCTTAGTTTTGTAGCGAAATTGACGCCAATAATCACTATTCTTACGTATTTTACACAAATATTCCCTACTATAAAAGTTCAGGAAATTAATTCCAACTACTTAACCATTTCACAAAAATAAAGCTGGAGCTATCGGTGTTAACTTATGAATTCATATTTTTTAAATTATAAAGATAATGTCATAATGAAGCAAAAATATATATAAACATTAACAATACTTTATTTGATTTACGATAAAAAAAAAATACTTTATTTGATTTTTAAACTTATTTGTACTATAATTTTAATTTAATATTCAATATTTTGCATAAAATTTAATAGAAAAATTTCTACTTTGAAATCTCTATAAAATCTATTAGAAATATTTATACTTTGAAATCTATACTTAATTCAAAATTCTATTAAATTTTATGAAAAATATTGAATATTAAATTAAGGATATACTACATAGTAGAAATGAGATTAAACTAAAAGTTGTTAATGCGTATAATTTTTTGCTTCAATACATGTAAAATGTAAAAGAATATTAATGGAAAAGTTAACAATGTTAGCTCCCGGTTTATTTTTGTGAAATAGTTAAGTAGTTGAGATTAATATTGTGAACTTTTTTAGTATGGATTATTTTTGTAAAATACGTTAAAGTAGGGATTATTGCCGCAAATTTCGCCAAAAAAGCCAAACGGGAAAATTGACACGGTTAACTTCCGGTTTATTTTTGTGAAACGCTTAACTAGTTGGGATTATTACTGTGAATTTTTCCAGTAGGGATTTTTTTCTATAAAATGTGTAAAAGTATGAATTATTTGTGCCAATTTGGCCTTCAAATTGTAATGATCAAGGATAAACATCACTCAAGATTACCATAATCAAAGTGTGTGAGTCTGTAAAATTATACACGATAAAATAAAAAATCAGAATGGAGTATGATAATTTGATTGAACAATTTGTTGTATTAGTCTATATATAAGTGAAAAGATTTAATTGTATTCAATATATCAAAAATCACAAAAAGTACTCACATCTTCTGCCACCGTTACTGCCGGTGATAGGGAAAATATATCATTTTCTCTGAATGCCATATTGAATCAATAATGTCATATTAACGGCATTTTAAAAAGTAATGGTGAGTAATGGTGCCGCCTTGATGGTATTTCCTGAGTAAAATTTAGCATTTTTAAAAACACAAAGAAGAAACAGATCATCTCAAATTTTCGAGCTTGAGGCTTGCGACAAAATAGACTATGCGGAAGAGAGAACCAAAGAAGAGGAAGATAAATAAAAAAAAACAAAGAAGGATGGGGAGAACAACGAGCTTCTAAACTACGGCCGCCAAATATAAATTCACTACTCAGTGTTGCGCCCTGCTGCTCTGGGTTGCTCGCCACTAACTCACCTCAAAGCATGTTATTGGAATAATTGTTCGATGATGAGCGGAGAAGAAAATGGCAGCTACAAATGATTGGAAATAATTAGATTAGAGGGGAGGGGAGATTTAGAGTCATGGTCATATTTAGAGAATAGAAATATGCATACTCCTATTTGAGAATTTAAACAATATTTTACTCTTATTTAGGGTAATTTCCCTTGTTTATTTTAAATGTTTTGACTCATTAATTGGGACGTGATAAGTTGTCATTTAGTTTGATACTAAATTGCATTCTTCTAAAGTTTGGAACAATCAAATATAAAAAGAAAGCTTAAATTAAATCAAAGAAACTTCACACAAAGTGAATGAGAAATCTCCATCTACTATTAACCTAATAATTAATAAACTTTTTATCAGTTCTAATCACATATGTGTTTGATCTTTTTGTGTCTTGCTGCATTCTTTGGGCAACTTACCTAACTAGAAAGCACATAAATGCATGCATGCCGCATGTTTATTAATTATGACTAATGAAAGGACATATGTGTGTGTGGTGTATATATAAACTCAAAGTCTCAAATGTTCTTTTGGCTACTACCTGTCTTTGATCACAACAAGTTGAGCATGGATGATAATAGTATCAATAGTTTCTTCAAAGTAGGACTCATTCTATTAGTCATTCTTTGTATTTTTCCAATGGCGGTAGAGAGTCATTGGAAGCTCATTGGCCCACTTTGTGCATCACAGATCACCCTAGTTGACCATGCATGCTCATTTCTCCCATTCAATCTCCCTCCACCATCTCCTCCATCATCATCATCGTCATCATTACCGTCACTTGTTTCTGCTCCTAGTCCAGATGGACGACACTCGCGTAGGCACGGACCTCATGGCCGAAGACATCACCACCATAGACACCATACTGATAACCCTGAAGAAGAGATTTGTTGCCGATGGTTGAGAGAAGTTGATGATGAGTGTGTTTGTCAACTACTAGCTCAGTTACCTGCATTCCTTTCTAAGCCTGTTCATCAGTATTCTGTCATTGTTGGTGACACGTGCAATGAGAACTTCCAATGTGGTTCACGAGTCAAAGTCAATGGTTAAACTATACTAGTTGATGAATTAAACCATTAATTCTATGACGATTCACTATATGATTTATTAGTCATGCTTCTTGCATAATAATAGAATTAAGTAATATACTAGATACCGTTACATTGAATTTGTTAGTATGTCACTCTAAGAAAATTATAAAAGACTCCACCTTTTCGCTGTATTGCATTATATGACTTGAGCAACTTCTTAGTTCACATTGTATGTTTCTCTTTGATTGTTACTATTTTTTAATTCGTCAAACAATAAGAAAAAGAGTTTGATGAACTCTGGTGCAAGTAGTCAAACATGATATGGATAAAGTATGCTATATCACTTAGGAGACAATGAGAACTTTAATGTGGTGATATTTTATGTGAGTGACATAAGTGCGCTGGTTAATTTGGGGTCACAGTGGTCAAAGCCTAATTAAGGTCGTTACTTCTTCATGTGTTAATTTATTTTGTAAAAATTGTATGATTTTTTACCCAATGATTATTTCAAAGTTTACAAGATTTATAGTCTTAGTTTTTTAAAAGGAAAACACATGCTTCATTAAATCAAACAATCGGTCGCCAATATGCTTAAGATACAATACAGGTAGGAGGAAAAAATAAAATAAACAATTACATCTGATTCAGATCTAGCAGCTCTTGCCAACTCATGTGTTGCTCCATTCGCCGACCCCCCTGCAATGCATAACTTTGATCATAGCTTTCTTATGAAAGTAGGATCAAAGTAGGATTCTCCTTCTCGCTCGAGCATCCCGACGCTGCCATGAGAGAACCGGTCTCTAATTTAACGTTTACCCAACCTTGTTCTTTCACACAGCTTAGTGCCTCCCAGACTCCCAAAGCTTCAGAAATCTCGCCCAACTAATTAGCAATCGTAGTTTGACATCCCCGCTTATAAATCTCCCGCCTTCATCTCTAGCAAGTCAAGCCCATGCACGTATACCTCGTCTAAAGTCCACCACGACATCAATGTTTACTTTAACCAATCGAGTCGTCAGTCTACTCGATCCGATCTGGCCGTCTAACTAATTTCCAGCGGCCCTTTCTCTAGCCTTTGGCTCATCCGCTCTCTTCCAGCGGCTTCCAGATACTACTCTAGTCTTCCTTTCCATAGTTTTTCATTTCTAACTTTCCACAAGCTCCAAAGTGTAACTATAAAACAACCAAGATCCTCCTCAATCAAATTATCAAAATAATCTTGAACTCACTATCCAAATGACTCACCTTGTTGCATGAACTTGTTGTGTGCCATGATGCTCCCATACAGCTACACTCTCCCGACAACCTTGAAATGGGT